ATATTTTCAAATGTTAAATATGGACTTGGCTTTTCTAATTGTGATAAACCTAGTACAAGTCCAACTATTCAGTGCTTAAGATGTGCTTGATCTTGTCATTGAAGTTTACGTTCCAGTAGCAGCAAATGCAACGGAGGAATAAAAGAACGCGCAGAAAGATACGAGGAAGAAAGATCAGAAAACATTGTTCTACATCCATTAGTGTGTGTATGCAAATGTGTTTGAGAAAATCGCTTATTCAACGACAGTGAATGCTGCGTGGGATACACTGGTCAGGTGCTATGGTGGTGACGCATCAGTGAAGAAGGTGAAGCTTCAATCCCTATGAAAGCAGTGTGAGAATCTCAACATGAAGAAGAATGAGAAGGTATCTGAGTAAATCTCCATAGTGATTCTGATCACTAATGAGATGAAAGCTTGTGGAGAAACCCTTTTTGAACAAGTAATCATTGAAAAGGTATTGAGGTCCCTTACCCCTCCGTTTGATTACATTGTGGTAGCAATAGAACATTCTAAAGATATGAGCAACATGAGAATTGAAGAGTTGCAAAATAGTCTAGAGGCACAAAATTTGCATCTGACTGAGAGAACTTCTGAAAGGGAAGTAAAGCAGCAGGCTCTGAAAACAGTTTCTGGTAAGAAGCATCAGAAACAGTCTTGGTCAGAAGCCAGGAGAAGATCTGATGGTGCTCACAAGTCAAAAACCTCAACTTTTGATAGGCAAAAGAATGCTTAGAAGGGAAAAGAGAGGGATGACAAGAAGAAAATCCAGTGTTGCTGTTGTAAGAAGTTTGACCATTTTGCAGCTGGTTATTGGTCAAACAAGGAAAGGAAGTTAGAAGAAGCAAATATAACCAGAAGTTCTGATGATGAATTTATGCTATTGATGGCTTTTGAATCTGACGATACAGATTTGACAGACTGGTGGTATATGGACACTGGCTACTCAAATTATCTTACTGAAAATAAGAAATAGCTGGTTGAATTTGACTCTAGTAAGAGGACAAAGATCAGACGTGCTAATGATAAATACCTCAACGCTAAAGGTATGAGAAATGTCAGAATCATTCTGAACAATGGGAAAACAACATTGGTTCAGAAAGTGTGGTATGTACCTGGCATGAAAAGTAATATGATGAGTGTGGGGCAACTGTTTGAGAAAGGTTTTTCAGTTACCATGAAGGACAATCTTCTGAAGCTGCATGACTATAATGAGAAGCTGATTATGGAGTCAGAACAGGGAAAAAATAGAACATTCAAGGTGAATGTAAGAACTGCAGACTCTGAATGTCTTAGTGCAACAAGTGTTGTGAAGGAAAGTGAGATGTGGCACAAAAGATTTGGTCATCTAAATTTCAGAAGCTTAGGGCATCTGAATTCGAAGAAGCTGGTACATGGAATTCCTATAATTAAGAAGCCTGAGAAGTCATGCAAAGTGTGCATAGAAGGAAAGCAACCAAGATTACCATTTGCTACAAAAGTAGCTCCAAGAGCAAAGCATGCCTTGGGAATAGTGCATTATGATGTGTGCGATCCATTTCCAATAGCATCGATTGAAGGGAATAAATACTTCGTGTCATTTGTTGATGAATTCATAAGAATAACATGGGTATCCCTTATAAAGTTCAAACACGAGGTGTTTGTTGAATTCAAGAAGTTCAGAATAAAGGTTGAGAATCAGATTGGTTAGACTCTGAAGATTCTCAGAACCGATGGTAGAGGTGAGTATAACTCCACTGAGTTCAGAAAGTTTTGTGAGGAGAATGGAGTTGAGCATGAGGTTACTGCTCCTTATACTCCTCAACACAATGGTCTTGCTGAGAGAAGAAATCATATTTTGCTTGATATTGCGATAAGCATGTTGAATGAGAAGAAGCTTCCTCATACCTTATGGGGAGAAGTTGTTGCCACCACAACATATGTGCTCAACAGATGTCCAACGAAGAAGCTGAAGGAAATAGTTCCTACTCAGAAGTGGACTGGAGATAAGCAAAGTGTTATCCATCTGAAGATATTTGGTTTTGTGTGCTACAAACATGTTCTAGAAGCCAGAAGCCAGAAGACAGAAGTTGGATGATAGAAGTAAAGTAATGTTACTAGTGGGATACCACAGTACAGGTGCGTACAAGCTTTATTGTTCAAAAACTAATAAAGTTGAATTCAGCAAAGACGTCATTATAAAGGAATCAAAAACTTGGGATTAGAACAAGTCTCAATCGAACTCTGATGTGAGAACTTTTGAAGAAAGTTCAAAATTAGAAGTTTCTGAAGATGATTCAGAAATTGAAGAAGATTCTAAAGCTGAAGTAGACTCTGATGGTGATTCTGACTCTGAAGAAGACTCAAAAGGTGAAGATGATTCTGATCCAGATTCTAGTGGTGATTCAGATTCTGGAAATATTTCAGACTCTGAAGGTGGTTAAGGTTCTGAAGGAGGTCAAACTTCTGAAGCAAGAGCTTCTGAAGGATAAGCTTTTGAAGATAGAACATTTGGAGTTCAAGCATCCGAAGGAGATTCTAAACAAGGCCAAAGGCCACAGAGAATCAGAAACATTTCGAGAAGATTTGCAGAGTTTGACATGCTACAAGATACTGAAGTAGATTCTGAAGAAGAAGTTTTTCAGTGTGTCATGGTAGTAGACTCTGAACCCGTAAGCACGGAAGAAGCTCTTGAGCAGAAAGTCTGACTGAAGGCCATGAAGAAAAACTTGATGCCATAGAGAGGAACAAGACTTGGAAACTGACAGAACTTCCGAAGGACAAGAAAGTCATCAGCGTCATATGGATTTTCAAGCAGAAGCTAAAGCTAGATGGATCAATTGGCAAACACAAAGCGAGGTTAGTAGCAAGAGGATTTCTGCAGAAACCTAGGCTGGATTATTCTAAAGTGTTTGCACCTGTAGCGAGACATGAAACAATCAGACTGGTGATTACAATAGCTGCTAACATGAATTGGCCTCTGATGCATTTAGATGTGAAATATGCATTTCTAAATGGTTTATTACAAGAAGAGGTATACGTGTCACAACCTCCTGGATTTGTTAAAAAGAATCAGAAAGGGATGGTGTACAAATTACATAAAGCTTTGTATGGATTGAAGCAAGCGCCCAGAGCCTAAAATTTGAAGATTGATTCATTTTTCAAGGAGTAGGGGTTTCAGAAATGTGAGATGGAGTATGATGTTTATATTCAGCATACTTCTGAAGGCAATTTGATTCTGGTGTGTTTGTATGTTGATGACATACTGCTGATAAGGAGTTCTAAACAAGAGATAGCTAAGTTCAAGAAGGTGCTAATGAATGAGTTTGAAATGAATGATCTCGAGGAAAATGACATATTTTCTAGGGATGGAGTTTATATACTCTGAGAAGGGTATCATTTTGCATCAGTTGAAGTATGAACTTGAGCTTCTGAAGAGATTTAAGCTGCAGAACTGCAAGGTTACTATCACGCCTGCAGATACAAATCAGAAACTAAATTCTGATTCTGATGGTGAGGATGTGGATGTTACAACCTTTAAAAAGTTTGTTGGTTCTCTAAGGCTTATGTGTAATACCAGACCTAATATATGTTATGCAGTTGGAATGGTTAGTAGGTTCATGAGTAAACTTAAGTGGTCCCATTACCAAGCTGCTATCAGAATTCTGAGGTATATCAAGGGAACTCTAAAGTATGGAGCGTTATTTCCTTCTGGAAGAAAGATTGAGTCAGAACTTCTGAGTTATTCAGATTCTGATTAGAGTGGAGACAAAGTTGACAAAAAAATGCTTATGGGTACTTGTTTAAGTTTCTGGGAGGTCCTACTTTTTGGTGTTCCAAATAACAACTTGTTGTTGCGTTGTCAACTTGTGAAGCTAAATATATCGCGGGCGCTGTGACTGCATGTCGAGCTATGTGAATTCTGAACTTACTGCAGAATCTGAAGATCAAAGTTAACAAGCCTATGAAATTGATGATTGATAACAAGTTTTCAATCAATCTTGCCAGAAACCCAGTGTTGCATGGGAGAAGCAAGCATATTGAGACTAAGTATCACTTTCTGAAAAATCGGGTTCATAATGGAGTATTAGAAGGCTATCAAGACCGGTCAATTTTTTCGCTTAAGGGATGAAATTGGTGTTGTCAGTTTTGGGTAAATATAAATTAAGCGATGGTGTTAGAAATAATTTATATTTTACAAAACTTAGTGACTAAGCTTTGTTAGAGGGTAATTTAATACTTTAGTATGTTGCTACTTGCTTATGTGACCCTAGTTTTCTGTGTATAAATAGACTAGTAGTAAATGTCATTTAATGTAATTTTTTCTTACAACTTTGTAGCCGTCATTTGTAGAATATAAATATATTCTCTCATTCTATTCATCACTTTTAACCTTGTGCAACAAAAGATTTGATGAATTAATTGATTGCTTTAATTAGCTCTTGGCCGTGAATGTAGTGAATTTTGAACATACGTACAAGTCTGCTACACCATAGTTAGAATTCCAATTTCCAACCATTAATTCTGCTCAGAATTCCAATTTCCAACCATTAATTCTGCTCAGGCATAAAATTATAATTCAAAAAGAGAAACGAAACACAAATTTATTGACAGGGGAGTATTAATGCACGCCTTAAGGCTCAAACATAACTTAAAAGTTTCTACTTACGAAGTCTTAATGCTGATAATAGCAGGATATGAACAGACTCTTTAACTGGATCAATTTCCATTGACATATAGATTCTACATTGTTTTAGCAAAAAATATCTTAATGTAAAATCTAATTTAATTATATTTGAATTGGGAATAACAGATCATAAATCTGCAGTGTGCTAGGTGTTTTCTAGTTAACAATCAGAAAAGAAAGGAGTACAGAACAACTAGTAGTTTAAGAAAGGATTACAGGTTTAAAGAGCCTCTTACTACAAAAGATGAAAACTTAAGCCAAGACTTTTAGCTATAATAATGTAATATAGTACTTTATAGCCAAGAACTGAGCCAGAGCAATGTAATTTATAACCTTAGAACATTAAGAGATTCAATGAACATTGTACTACAAATACTTCAAGTAATAATCTAGTCAAGAAATAAAACAACACACCCAGTGCTATTGACACAGGCAGAGCAGGCAAGGCTTTCTGATAAAAAGCCAAAAGCATCAAAGTTATGCCGAGACCTGCAATAATTGCAAGATAACATGCATACACTGTCATAAAATCATACATTGCAGCCCTGCCAACCAAAACACTATAGAAGATAAAATCGCCAAGCCCTAGTTTGATTGCACCGGACGAAGCCAATCCAATTCCTTCCAGCATCAAATTCTCATTCGACGCCGTATCTTCTCCTCTAGGAACCTGCACATTCATTCCATGACCAATCAAGGGTGTTGCAAGATCTGAATCGGTTTCTTGAACCTGCACTCGCCCCTCTTCCGCTCTTACCAAATTACACGTCCCATAAGAGCTACTACTAGAATTCAAATTCGAAGCATTTTCTGAAGACAAATTCACGTCATTCGGGGTATTTCTGTTTGAATTTGAACTAACAACAGCATTCGCGCCTGCATTGAGTCCACTTCCACCCAACACAGAATTTTCATTCTCAATCCTCCTCTCTCTCCATAACCTCCTCCGAGCCGCAACATCACTATCATTACTCACCGGCCTAGCCTCATAAACCAAAGCCGGAATCTCCTCGTCTCTCGAAATGGCAAGTTCTACCAAAAGCCTTAAAGGCCCAACAGGCAACAAAACAGCAGCAAGATCATACAAAGCCATAGTAACAAGCATGGCCCAAGTTGTCCATTCAGGCAACATAGTAAACCAATAAGCAACCAATATTCCAATAAAAACCAAATACCCTTGTGTAACAAAAATAGCCATTTTCGACATAAACACAGCACAAACACCAACTACAGCGAAATTAACCAAAACAATTGAAAACGTTATACAGTCAATTGGAGTACTAAAATGTTGAATTAAAAACACCGAAATTTCGCCTCCGAGAAAACCTAAAACGACAAAGGAAGAGAAAGCCATGTAGAGTTTTAAGAACCTGATACATCGGAAATAGAAGAGGAGGACTAAGAAGAAAGTGGTGAAGGTTACAACAACGACGAAGGATAAGGAGTTTAGAAGTGCGCCTAGGAATTTGTCCCAGGAAGAATCTGAGGTTGTTTCGTCGTATGCTATGTTGGCTATGGTGGAGATTGTTGGGGAATCGTTTGTGTTGAGAATTGAGACTAGGATTACAACGAGGAACATGCAGATTGAAACGGGAGTGATAATTCTAACGATTTCTTCGCCTAAAGTATCGAGAACGGTGGATGAAGATGAAGGTCTTCGGGTTTCTGCCATTGTTGTAAACAGAGAGTTCAGATCGAAAGCAGAAAGTGTTTGGATACTGTTGTGGCAATCGTGGATGCTTGTGTCCTCTGCTACCCCTTCTTTGGTAATGGGCCGGCCTAAACATTACATATATGGGGTTTGCTATTTGCAATATGTTAAGTATTACATGTATACAGAATACTATGTGTGCGGGCGTTAAAAAAACTAACGAGAAAAAAAAAGTATAAAAAATAAAATAATAAGAGAAACAAAAATTTTTACCCAAATATTCCCGTTTTAAAAAAGAAATTTCAAAATAACTCGGTTTTCAAATTATTTTTTAAAGTATCCTATTTGAGGTATTGTCTGAGTGTATGCAACATATGAATTAGTGACTCTTTACAGATAACAAGAGTTGTCACCAATTAGATTGAAGACACCACATGGTTTTACCAATTTAGTTGACGATAGAGTGTAAATTGTTAAAAGGTGTTGCCAATTCAATTGGAAACAAGCAGAAAGTGGTTTTTTTTTATAAATAGAGGTGTTCTAATAATTTATTTTCACATCTCATCTTATATACTTGTATTACTGATAACATGTATCGTCGCTGCTACGGTAAACTCATCTATTATATTCGAGAGAGAAGCCTCTGATGGACATGCTCTTTTGGAATATTTAAAATTTCAACCAACTAAAAAGGGAGCTGAATAAGTGGTTAGACTGAGACATATATGAAGGGGAAAAAATTAGAAGTATAGAGAGACATGATTGTTGGAAATTCACCTCACACCCTATGAAGAATTCTCTTCAATCTTGATCTCAAGATTGATGAACAAACCCACAATATGATAATGATGGTAATAACAAGTAATTATCAAGAACAACAAAAGAGAAGAAGAATAACAAACAAGAAAGAGAAGAATGAGAGAAGAAGTATTTAGAGAGAATGTGTTACCCACAACTGTGGGATTTCTTATTGAACTTTCACTTGCTAACTGCAACTGTGAAATTTGTTCTGTTGTGATGTAGAATACAAAGCAATGCACCCTATTTATAGTTTTAGGTTTACACTAGCCCAAAACATAAAAGGCCCAAAATATTCTAAATCAAATCTAATCATATGATATCAAATCTAATCATATGATATCTAATCATATCATATCAAATTAATCATATGATATCAAATCTAATCATATGATATCAAATCTAATATAATCAAATCACAATGAATTATATTTAACACACCACCTAATTCATTGTGTATAAACTGTCTACATTCATCATGGCCCTTAGTCTTCTGAAGGCTTCGACTTGCACTCCCTTCGTCATGATATATGCAATCTGATTCTCAGTTCTGCAGTGTTCCAACTTCATCTTCCCTTCTGCTACCCACTCTCGGAGATAATGGAACCTCATTTCGATGTGCTTGCTTCGACCATGAGCTATTGGATTCTTTGCCAAGTTGATAGCTGACATGTTGTCTATCTTTATGGTAATTGCTCCATGGTTCTTCCCTGTGATTTCTTTGACCAAGTTCACCATCCAAGTTGCTTGACATGCACAAAGGGAAGCAGCTATATATTTTGCTTCGCATGATGATAATGCCACCACTGGTTCCTTTCTCGAATTCCAAGCAACTGGTGCACCACCTAACATAAACACATATCCAGCTGTGGATTTTCGATCCTCAGCATCACTACACCAACTGGAGTCTGTGTATCCCACTAACTTGCATTATTTTCCTTCATCAGCTGCTGGAAACAAAATGCCATAGTCGAGAGTTCCTTTCAGATACCTCAGTATCCTCTTCGCCGCTGCTAGGTGTGATACCTTTGGTTTCTGCATGAATCTACTTATCATACCAACACTGTATGCTAAGTCAGGCCTTGTGTGGCAAAGGTATCTAAGTGACCCAATAAGTCTTTTGTATTGGGTTGGGTCGACATCATCTTTATCTGAATCCTTCGACAGTTGCAATCTAGGCTCAGCTGGAGTCGAAGTTTGGTTGCAATCTTGCATCTCAAATCTCTTGAGTATCTCGCCTGCATATCTTGTTTGGTGCATCATCAAACCTCTACTTGTCTTGTAGAATTCGATGCCAAGGAAATATGAGAGATTTCCCAAGTCTGACATTTCAAACTCCTTACTCAGGTCATGTTTGAAATCTTCGATCTCCTTCTTGGAACTCCCTGTTATCAACAAATCATCAACATAGAGACATAGTATAAGCAATTCGCCATTGCTTCTTCTTACATATACTTCATGCTCAGTTGTACACTTCACAAATTCCTTCTCCCTTAAGAAGCTGTCAATTTTCTTATTCCAAGCTCTTGGAGCTTGCTTAAGTCCATACAGGGCTTTATGAAGCATGTACACCTTTCTTTCTTCGCCTTGTTTCTGTAAACCCATAATTTCGACAAGACCATAATTTCGACAATATTAAAATTCAGGCTTTAAGGTCATCTTTGTCGAAGGATAGCAACAGGAGGAGAATCCAAGAATTGCTGACAAGGTTTTAAAGTTTCATTGTTTCGACAGAAATAGATATAATGTTCTGGCAGAATAGTTTGGAGAATTTGTGACTGAGGGCTTCGACAGAAGAAGTTTGTTAATAAAAGATAAGGTTTGGCAAGTGCTGAAGAGTTTTTCTCCTTTAAAAGGGTTTCGACAGTTTTGAAGAGTTACAAGGTTTCGTCACCAAGGAAGAGATTCAAATTCAAAGGTTGTAACCTTTGGCAGTTGGACACATGGAGGTTTCAGAGAAGAAATTTACATGCAGGCTGACACTTGTCGTTTAGTTATAGTTTTTCCGTTCTAAGCAGTTATTTTGTTTGTGTATAAATAGGATAGTTTGTGGTTAGAATGTGTGTGTGAAAATTTGTACAAAATTCCTGTAAAAGCTCTAAGTACCCAGTGTGAGAGAAAATGAGTCTAGTATTTGGAACAATGTACGTTTAAACACCAGTTATATTTCAAAGTCATTTTAAATTACTTGTTTATTCTTCAAGTTCATGTCATTTTACATTTCATTTACTTTTCTGCAAGTTTTTAGCCTTCCGACATCTTTTTGTTCTTGTTTAAACTTCTAACTTTATTTCATCTTTAAGTTCAAACTTCGTTACTTGCAAAATCAAAGTCCTTAATACTTTGACAATATTGATAAAACAAACCACAAATTAGTCACCAAAAGTCTAAGAGTATTTCGACAGAACCAAATGCACATGTATCCTAGGACTTGTATGGTTGGTCCTGCAAGTAACCCAACTTTCTGAAGAAATTGGTTAACCAGAGGTTGTTCGCCAGAAAACACAGCGAACAAATTGGCACACCTGGTGGGACCAGTGCATTTGATAAAATCTAATAGAAATTTTTAGACAAATTGTTCCTTGCTACGTTGTATGATTCTTAGAAGCGGTAAATTAGCCGTAACCGACGTAGAGAGACCAAAGAGAACAAGAAGAAGAAACATGGCTAACTTGCCAAATGCTTCAAATATTTCTGACGAAACCATTCCAGTTTCCAATCCTATCCCTTCGTCAGGAACAATACCAGTGTCTGGCCCTGTTTTAGAACAGATTAGGCCTCCTTTGGGGGATTCCATACCAACGGGTTCAGGATCCCAGAATGCGCCTAGTTCTTCCACCATGGGACACGCCAGACCCTTGGGAACCCCTCCCCCTGGAGGAAATACATTCAGGCCATATCTGAATTATTCTCAGCCTTTGGCTGGGAGAGAACAACCGTACGGAATGCCAACTTCAATGATGGCAAGCCTACATAATTCGTCACCATTATTCTCTGATGCCATGGTTCAAGTGTCATCACCATTGCAAGGATCAGGATATGGTGGAAATGGAAATAGAATGAATCAAATTCCACCAGGTTTCCATATGCCCGCTATGACAAACCATTCTGCACAAGTAATCCGTCAACAGATGGATGAAAGCAATCATGATATGGTGCAGGCTTTGACACAACAAATGGGAGACGTGTTCAATCCCTTAATACAAAACACTACCCAAACAAACCAAATATTGGCAGAACAGATGGCACGCATTGCTGATTTTTTTGGAGTCCCACAAGCACAACAAAGAATGCAATTAAACCAGAATCCTGCCAATAGGGCTGTCGAAGAGGAACTCACTATAAACCAAAGGCCCTTAGGGAACCCTCAGGAAAATCCCAGGGGGCAAGAGGTGATGGTCGAACAGCCTAATGTAGAAGAGCCTATTCGACAGGAACCAAGAAGGATAATAGTCCAGAGAAACCAAAATGCTGACGAAGTGTTACAGCAGAGAATGCGTTACAATAACATGCCTGTCGAAAATAATATTGCCACCATGGTGGAGAGAATAATGGCACAAAACGGAGTAAACGTAGGATTACAAAGGCCTAGTTATACTTCCCCCTTGTCTGAATTTATCTTACAACAAGAGTTACCACCAAGGTGGAAAGTCCCCAAATTCACAAAATTTTCAGGGGATACTAGTGAATCCACCATAGAACACGTGGCACGTTATTTGATAGAAGCGGGAGAGATTGCTAATAACGAGAACTTAAGGACGAAATATTTCCCAAGTTCTTTGACAAAAAACGCTTTCACTTGGTTTACGTCACTTCCTCCAACTTCAATTTTTACTTGGACCCAATTAGAGAGATTGTTCCATGAACAATTTTATATGGGACAAACCAAGATAAGTTTGAAAGAGTTGGCAAGTGTCAAAAGAAAATTTTCTGAACCCATAGATGACTATTTGAATAGGTTTAGATTATTAAAAGCCAGATGCTTTACGCAAGTGCCGGAACAAGAACTAGTCGAAATGGCTGCAGGGGGTCTTGATTATTCCATAAGGAAAAAACTGGATACCCAATATCTGAGAGACATGGCACAGTTGGCAGACAGAGTAAGGCAGATAGAAAGACTAAAAAATGAGAAATTTAGATCAAATAAAAACAAGAAGGAAAGAGTGGCCTATGTAGGAATGGTTCAAGATGATTACGACGAAAACGAACCAGTCATTTTCGAC